GACAAGAAATCTTGACAAGAAAAAACCCATGATAGGTTCCCCTTAGGGTCACCATAGAGCAGGAATGACCAAGAAACTATGAAGTCAGCTGTCTGACCTCAAAAGCTACTGCACCTTCCTTGCATGATCTCATTCTCAGTATCTTAAAAAGGCTTTACACACTTTGACTTAAATCCAAAGCCATGCAAGCAAGCATTTGCTCATACTGTGGGTGTTCCCCTTGCTCCACTCCCCCAGACAGCCATCTCATAATGTCCTTAGCCCTCCAGAGCAGATATGCAGGGGGTGCAGGGAGAAACTATAATTTCCATTAGCAGATAGCAAACATTTGATACGACCCATTGTCTTTTAAAGCTCCAAACCTTCCTCATCACACCTGAATACAATCAAGTATTTAAGAAAAGCAAATATTGTGGCAATTAACTTGTAAGTTTAAAACAATCAAGTATTTAAAATCTCCCACTTTGCTAAAACAATTTTCAATGCTGGCACAAAAATCAGATTACCAATAAAATCTACACCAATTTAAGAACATCTAATGCCAAAATATGAGTAAGGAAGGGACCCAAGAAAACAAACAGAAGCATTATAATAATAAGGGTAATAAGATTTTGCAGGGGGATAGTATTGCTAAAATGCATACCTGATAGCTTACTGTTGTGGTCATATTTCTTACATGGGTCTTCACCGTGCAAGAGAGGATGTTCATCTTGATGAGCTGCCTCCATCATAATACTACCTGAAAGCAAACACTGAGGGTTAGAATCTGTGACAAGGTCTCTTCCGGATATATGTGCAACTTTTCAGGACTAAACACATTCAAAATAATCTGCTTCCCTCATTCAGCACACCGTATAAAAGTCTCATTAGCAAGGCAGTGAAGCGCAGGTCAAAGTGGTGGTCTGTAGACCACTCTGGTCCATGAGCCACTTGTTGCCAATCCCTAGAAAACTTTCAAGTAAGAAAGAAACAACTGTAGTCAATGGGCACAAATATAGTGCCAGTCCCTGTCTCTGAGGAAAAATAATTGCTTATTCCCCACATTAGACATGTTAAGAAGCACTGATGTACAGGACAATAAAAATCTGGTAAACAGAAGTAGCATGTAGGCCTATACAAATGAATGTGAATGGGTTTGTGTCATGGAGCCTGACTCTCAATACTAGCAATATCCCAGATTTCATTTCACTTCCTATATCCCAGATTTCATTTCACTTCCATCATTTGGATGTAATTGCAGCTTCTGCTAAAATTAGTCCACATTTCACTGTTATAAGAAGTTACAGGAATCCTGTAGCACCTTTGAGACAACAAAGTGAGAGACAGGAGTTGTAGATGCATTAGAGGAAGTAGACCATGGATGCATCTACATGTAGAAATAATGCAGTTTGACACCACTTTAACTGTCATGGCTCCATCCTACATAATCCTGGGATTTGTAGTTTTGTGAGGCCCAGCACTCTCTGGCAGAGAAGGCAAAAGACCTTGTAAAACTACAAATCCCAGGATTCTATAGCATGGAGCTCCAGCACTTAAAGTGTGTCCAACTTCATTATTTTTACAGTGTTGATGTACTTGAGGGCCAGTGCAATATAGTAGTTTTAGTGTTTGACTACAACACTGGAGACCAGGGTTCGATTCCCCACTCGAGCATAAAAACCCATTGGATGTCCTTGGGCAAGTCACAATCTCTCAGCCTCAGTGGATGGCAAGGGCAAGCCTCCTCTGAAGAAACTTTCCAAGAAAACTCTATGATAGATTCCCTTTAGGGTCACTTTATGTCAAAACTGACTTGTGGAGGCAACAACAGGCAAAATACAGGGTAACACAAAGCAGAGGACACCAGCCATGACCAGTTGGGCTACAAAGGGCTCATTCCCATTACAAAATAAATCATTTTTTGAGTCGAATTGATGAAGCGATTTAGCGCCGAATAGGAGTTCATACTATTTGAGCCGCAATCGAAGCTACGCATTTCAATTTAATCCACTTTGCGTTCACATTCAGCAATGGATCAATTCAACATGGAGTCACTTCACAGGGGTGACTGCGCCACAGGAACCGAATCAAATAGACAGTGCATTCACACTTGCACTGAATCAATTCATTTCAAAAGAAGCGGAGAATGTTGCGGATTCAGATTGTTGGGCTCTGGCTCCCAGGGTTCAAATCCTTGCTCAAATATGAAACCCACTGGGTGACCGTGGGCTAAGTCACACTCTCTCAGCCTCAGAGGATGGCAATGGCAAACCCCCTCTGAAGAAACTTGCCAAGAAAACCCTGTGACACTGTCTCCTTAAGGTCGCCATAAGTCGGAAATGACTTGAAGGTGCACAACAAATACTAGGGCCTCATTCTCGCTACATAATAAATCAGTTTTCAAACCATTCTGATATGGTTTAAATGGCCCTTATTCGCACTTGTGCCAAATTTCTCATGCGGTTTGCCAAGGGGAACACAGCGCTAAACCCATTTAAACCAGTTCTTCTGATTAAGCAGACTCTGGACAGAGAGCTTCAAGTCTCTCCTCCTGCAGGGAGATTTATTACAATTTTGGCTGCATGCACACTGCAGAAATAACAACAACAACAACAACAACAACAATAATAATAATAATAATAATAATAATAACAACAACACAACAATAACAACAACATATATAATAATAATTAATTATATATTAATAATTATATATTAATAACTAATTAAAATTGTGGCTGCACGCACACTGCAGAAATAATAACAACAATATATATATAATAATTTATATATTCGTAATTATATATTAATAACTAATTAAAATTTTGACTGCATGTACACTGCAGAAATAATAATAATATAATAATAATAATAATCATATATTAATAACTAATTAAAATTTTGACTGTACCCACTGCCAAAATAATAACAATAATAAATTAATAACATATTACAATTACAATTTTTGGTGCATGCACACTGCAGAAATAATAATAATAATAATAATAATAATAATAAAAATTATAATTATATAATTATTAATTATATAATTATATATAAATTAATATTTATAATTTATTAATAATTATATTATTAGTATTATATTTATTTATATCCCTCCCTTTTCCCAAAACCGTGGCTCAGAGCAGCTTACAAGATTAAGAACGGTACTATTTTTAAAAAAAGTTACATTAAACAGAATCAAATTGTTACAATATTAAAACAGAGTGCATAAAATAATTATAATACATAATTTATTTCAAAAGAAGCGGGGGATGCTGCGGATTCAGATTGTCGGGCTCTGGCTCTGGAGACCAGGGTTCAGATATAAAAGCAAGGGGGGGTTGCAGACTGCTAGAAATAGTGCAAATTGAGTCCACTTTAAGGGTTAGAGTTAGGGTTAGGGAATCATGGGAACTGTACTTTATTGTGGCACCAGAGCTCTCTGACAGAGAAGGCTCAATGTCTCAGAAAAAAAAAACAATTCCCATGGTTCCCTAGCACTAACCCTAACACTAACCCCCCCAAATCTATATGAAGTAATCTAGTTTGAGACCGCTTTAACTGCTAGGGAATCCTGGGGATCTGTAGTTTGCTGTGTCACAGGAGCTCTCTCTCTGACAGAGAAGGCTCACAAAAAAAATACAGTTCTCAGAATCCCACAGCACTGAGCCAGGGCAGTTAAAGCGGTGCCAAACCGGGTTATTTCTGCAGTGCGGATGCAGCCTGGGCCTTGCTGGCTTCCTCACTTACCTTTGCTTGCTTTCCCTGCTTTTCAAAAAAGGCGCCTCTTCTCCCTTCAGGCTCTCGATGGCGCGAAAACCGAGGGCGGCTGAGGCGCCTCTTCTTAATAGAAATACAGTGTAACCAAGAAGTGGGCCTTAAACCCACTAATAAATTACCCCCTGAGCCGCCTCACAGAAAGAAGAGGGACGACAGAGGAGAAATACACACAAAAACTCCACAAAACTTTCAATTGTTCAGTCGAAGTGGAGGAGGAAGGGACGACGGGGCGGGACCCCAGAGTCTCGTCAGAATGGGAAACACACGTGACAAGGGCAAGAGGCCGGGCCTAGGAGGCCTCTCGAGAGGCCTGGGCCTGCCTTGGAGGAGAAGGCCGGAGGGTAGAGCCCCCCTCAGGGACGAGGAGGCTGAGAGGAAGGCCACAAAAATACCACACGGAAGAGAGGCCTTTCCCTCCCTCAGTAAAAATATCTCTGTGGTGACGATGACTCTGGAGACCAGGGTTCAAACCCTGGCTTGGCCATGGAAACCCACCTTGGGCAAGTCACACTCTCTCAGCCTCAGAGGGTGGCAAGGGCAAACCCCCCTCTGAAGAAACTTGCCCAAGAAAACCCCATGATAGGGTGGGCAGGGCGACCAGATGTCATAACTGCAAAGGAGGACGAAATGTAGGACGTTGAAGGGGGGAAATAATTAAGGGCTTTACCAAAATAAAAGCTCAATGCATTCATATAAGAATACATTCATCTTTCTTAGTCCTGCTCAAAATGGAGGACGCTTGGGAATCCCTCCTGGACAGAAAATATCGGCTAAAAACACTCATATAAATGTACATTTATGCCTCTTAGTGATGCTCAAAATGGAGGACATTTGGGAATCCCTCCTGGACAGAAGGCTGAAATGGAGGATATGTCCTGGAAAAGGAGGACATCTGGACATCCTGGCTTAGGGTCAGCATAAGTCAGAAATTACTTGAAGGCACACAACAATAACAAAATGGACCTTGTGAAGGGGGGGTGGGCTTAGTTTTTGGCAGGGTGACCAGATGTCCTAACCACAAAGGAGGACAAAGCACCAAAAATTTAGGACATTGACCAAATAAAAGCTATTTATAGCTATATTGTTGTGTGCCTTCAAGTAGTTTCCAACTTACCGCAACTCTAAGGCAAACTTATAATGGAGCTTTCTTGACAAGTTTCTTCAGAGGGGGTTTGCCCTGGCCATCCTCTGAAGCTGAGAGAGTGTGACTCGACCAAGGTCACCCAGTGGGCTTCCATGGCCAAGCCAGGATTCGAACCTGGGTTTCCAGTCATAGTACAAAGCTCAAACCACTACACCATGCTGGCTTTCTAGCTATACTACATATGCTGTGTTTTATTATGTGAAAAACCAGTGTGGTGTAGTGGTTTATGTGTTGGATTCCAACTCAAGATCAGGGTTCAATTCCCCACTCAATCATTAAAACCCAGAATGACCTTGGCCGGTTACACTCTCTCAGCCTCAGATGGCAATAGCAAACCTTATCTGAACATGCCAAGAAACCCTGGGATAGTGTCAGCATAAGTCAAATGACTTGGATGCACTCAGCAACAACAATTTTATTATGTACTCACCCATATTTTTCTGCTGAACCTATTGTTAAAATGCCTTGTTGACTTACAATATACTTACAGAACTGAGCAAGGCAAATGCTTAAAATTGTACTTTACATACAGAAGAAAAAAAATGTCATTTCCCCCCTCTTGTATTATTTTAACACTTGAGCCAGTGAAGCTTCGAAGGATTACAACATATATTTTATGCATTTTGGTTGGCCCCATAAAGGTATCACTGTTTGTGGATTTTGGATGTTATTGGTTTTGGACTTTGTGTGCCTTCGAGTCGCCTGTCAAATTATGGTGCCCCCATGAATTTATCCCATGAATTTCATAGGGTTTTCTTAGGCAAGGAACACTTACAAGGCTGCTGCCACAATGCAGAATTAATGCAGTTGCACATGCTTTAACTGCTATGGCTCCATCCTATGGGAACCTGGGATTTGTAGTTTGTTGTGGCACCAGAGCTCTTTGACAGAGAAGGCTAAATATCTCACAAAACTACAGTTCACAGAATTCCCTAGCATTGATCCTTGTTAGTTAAAGCTTGCATTAACTCCGCAGTGTAGAGATGGTTTTGCCAATTCCTTCCTTTGAAATATATCCTGCCACACCTGGTATTCCCTGGCAGCCTCCCATCCAAGTACTAACCAGGGCTAACCCTGCTTAGCTTTCAAGATCAGACAGGATCTAGTACCTTTAAGTTATCTAATGCCTGGCACAATGGACAATTCCCCATATCCCCCAGCCAGCGTGTGGACTGTGGAAGTTGTACTGTATCCCAAAGTACTGTGATTTCCCCAAGGTTTGGGGAGCCTTGATATCATGCTATATTCACCACTTGCAGATATCAGTTCAGAGTTAATCAGTGTCTGTGTGTATACACTGTATATGCTCAAGTATAAGTCTAGAAATTTTAGTCAAAATGATCCAAAAACCCTGAGTCGACTTATCCACTGGTCAATGTAGGAGTCTCCAACTCTTATTTAAAAGGGAATTGTTCCCTGGTGAAAGGAAGAGTGTAATCTGTCTTGCCATCTGTCGGGGATGCTTTAATTGGGAGTTCCTGCATGGCAGGGGGGTTGAACTGGATGGCCCTTGTGGTCTCTTCCAACTCTATAATTCTATGATTCTATGGAAGCACTGACTCCCCATCTAGTCTCTTATTCATCCATCCTTTAGCGTAAGCCCAAATGGTTATGCCTTCTGGGATTTGTAAGTTCTTTGGCATTGTTTTCCTTGGCTTCGTCCTTTACATGCTTTCCCTACATGCCTCTAAATTTTACCCTCAAGTTATCCAAGCATCGTATCAAAATCCATAATTTTGGCTCCCAAACCTGCCTTTGACTTATACACAAGGTCAATTTATACAGTAATCTTTTCATTTTGAAAGCATTGGCTCAGGGGTAGTCAACCTTTCCCCTTTAAGGGCCGAGGGACTTCAGCTCCCAGAATCCCAGGAGCTATTGGCCGACATGGGACTATTGGCCAACATGGCTGAGGCTTCTGGGAGCTGAAGTCCCTCGGCCCTTAAAGGGGAAAGGTTGCCTACCCCTGAAATTTCTACACCACTTTATTATGTTATTTATCTTTTACTTATCCATTCATCATGTAATGAGTTTTGGTATGTTGTTGAACTGTAACATCCAGCATTTCTCACCATTGCCTACCTTGGTAAGGCTAATGGGAACTGCAGTTTAGGCTGAAGGCCTACTCTTTGCTCATGCCTGCTTTAAGGGAAGCAGTTGCACAATTAGAAGTATGATACTTTTTCCATTTATAAGCCTCACAGGGAATGGTGGCAATCTTTTAACATGGATGGAAACCATGTGGCCTTCCAGACATTGCTGGATGACAACTCCCAGCATTCCTTACTATCAGCTATGCTGGCTACTCGTTCTGCTAAGATTTGCAGACCAATAACACATGGCAGGCTACATGCTTTTCATCGTGGTTTAACAAAGGAGTTTATCACACACTTAAACAAACTGGTTTACCTGATCCGGCTTTAAAATAAATGCAGGTGGCGTCTGGACCCTATTTCAAGGGCTTTGCTCCCGAAATTTCCGCCCAGGACCAACCCGGGGCCATCCCTACTCCTAGAGCCGCTCAGCGCAGCTCTTCAAAGCCAGGAGTTTTCCAGCATGAGAAAATGGCCACTGGAGCGGCTCCAGGAGTGGGGATGCCCCCGGGATTGTCCCAGGTAGCAATTTCAGCGACAAAAACTTTGGGATACGGTCCAGATGCCACCTGCATTTATTGTTAAGCTGGATCAGGTAAACCAGTTTATTTAAGTATGCAATGATCTTCAAAGCAAGGTATATATCACTTGCCCTTATGTCTTGAAGCATACTAACCAAAGTGCAATTGATTTATACAATTATATCTTGTTTTAATTATTCTGAACATCTTTGCCCTGTATTGCAAATGTCTGCCAGAAATGGGCAAAATGTTATTTTGCATTATCTTCAATAAAGGGGGGGGGGGGCAGGGGAAATGATAAAGAATGAAAATAAAATTCAGTATAACATCCCCAATCAATATTTTATTTTCTCTATTATTTAATTGATTTTATCGCTTTCAAGAATTTTCCCTTCTCAATGCAAGTAAAAAAAAGTTAAAACAATATAATAGCATTTACATTTCTATACCGCTTCATGGGAACTCAGCACTCTCTAAGCAGTTTACAATCTGTAAGCCAATCGCCCCCAACAAACTGGGTAATCATTAATAATAAAACTCCAAGTTACTAAAGCAATAAATAGCAAAGAATAACACTGATGTTAAAATAACCGCACCAGGTAAAACCATAATGAAAACACCCCAAAACTGATGTCATCCATTCATGGTTCCCTTAAATAACCAAATATTGCTTATAGCTACATACCCTTACATCCAGTCATTCAGGTCATGACTTGAATAGGATGTTCTCCTGCCAGTCTCTAAGAAAATGATATTAAAAAGATATTAAATCAAGTATAATTGTTAGAGCAGCTATACAAATAATTGCCATGGGACAATCTCTTATTCCATGTTCTCCTTGTCACTCCACATTGACACTTGTTCCTTAAAAAGGAC